TCGTTCATGTGGTCCACTACGCGCACATAGCAAAACACTTCAGTCACACAAGAAGATGTGATGGTGCGGATGGGGTGGAGGGTACCATAGAGTGGGAGATGGTGGCCGAACGTCTCAGCTTGGCGCGCCAGGGCTACCCGCTACATGATACAGGGATGAGACTCATAATCGTCAGTGTCCAGGAGGAAGAGGGCGAGATAAACCTGGTTGAGAGTTTGAGGGCGCCTGAAACACACACCATCGTCATCATTGCATTGCAGCGCCCAGCCGTCAGCTGGATGTGCTTCGTCAATGTAGACCGACAGGAACACAGCCTGCGTTGTTTTTGAACAAAATAACGAAGTTGAGGTATTCGCGTCTCAAAAACAATGGAGGAGGAAGGACCAAAGTCCACCTTGTGGCGGTGCTTGTCGGCCATGGCCTGAACCTTGGACAGGTTCAGCCTCCACGGTGGTCAGGTGATGCTGCCAAAATTGAGCACAATTGGCATGTTGCCATGCTCGCCTAGTAGGAGCATGAGATGAGCGTTAGGCAGGCCTGTGACCGCAGCGTGTTGAGGAAGAGTACCAAGAATGTTGGTGAGTGTGATGTTGGAGTTGGTTCTGGGGTCATGGAGCACCACATCAGGAATCGCGTCACCCAGTTCAAGCAGGCCCTCGCTGGGGAGTACTCTGTTGGCCTGGACCCCAGAGAAGAAAGCACCTACAGCGAGTGGTGAGGCTTTGGTCCTCCAATTCAGAGAGCGGACAAGGGTTACGTACCCTTTGCTAGGCCCCAGAGCACAGAGCTCTTGCTGCCACAGGTGACACCCACAAACGCAGAAGTAGCAGGGCTACGCTTGATGTAGGGCATGAAGACAGGCATCGCTTTCACATAGTGCCACAGCGCCCTTACTACCCTGACCCACCCCTGCAAGCATGAGCGTCAGACTTTGCTTCTTCTACGCACACATAAATGCATGCAATGCATTGCTGCTGCTAACAATCGTCGCTGAAGGAGGTACCCATAGCAGCAGCACCAGGAAAGATTGGCTCATGCACACCCACAGCGGCGGACAGCAGGGAGGAGGTGATGTTGACGCAATGCCGGCCAGGCGAGGCGGGACATTGGCTTACCAACCGACAATTGGGCGAGAAATGGCCATTTCTCGATCTATTTCCACGCCAAATAAACAAAAAGATGAACGAAGCGAGGGGGCGCCGGGACCGTTCTGAAGACTACCAGACCCTGCTCTTCCATCATACGTCACCCTCCACATATGCTTCCCGCACCATGTTCCAATCAACATACACCACGCATCAATCTTACGAGATTCCTTTTCTGCTGCTCCGCCGCGCTGCACGTTCGCTTGACCACCAGCACTCGAGCGGCTGGCGGAAGAGACGAAGCGACTGGCGACCAACTCGCAACGGCTGGCTGAGTTCAACGCCGACCTCAGCATGACGTCGGCCCAGTCTCGGGCTTCGCTGCGCAACCTGCACGACATCCACCGCGCGCCCAAGTAGAGTCGTGTACCTCGGCCGCCGATCGGCGAACACATCAAGGGTGGCCCGGGCCATGGCAAGGTCAGGCTGGTTGCACAGCGGTTGCACACCAAGTTCAGCTTTTGTGTTACCAGAAAAACAGGGAAAAGAAATAGTGCACAATAAATAAATATTTATTTGTTTGCTTTTTTGTTCTTTTGTTGTTGATCATCTGCAAGAAGAGCGAGAGATGTCGG